TCTAACTTGCCGAAGTCCACGTCAATCATTTCGGAATTTATATTTGATACGTCATTTTAGAATTCCAAAACGACGTATAGCAGTCACGTCATTTTCGAATTCTGAAACGACGTGTAACATGTTATCGTTACGTATTCAAAATTATTTGATCGACAAGGAATCCAAATTGATACGTACTTGAAAATCCAGTGCAAATTTTAGAACATCAAAAATTCACTGTTTTACGTGATTTCTGTCTTGAAATTATTTGCCAAATTCCCAAGTTACTCTTTGAATCTGAAAATTTATTTTTCATTGGATGAAACTAGCTTTAAATTGCTATTAGTAATTTACTAATCGAAGAGATAGAGATTTGGGATAATCTTATCAATGGATGATAGCTGGCTTGCCAGATGGTCACAGCAAGACGTTGAAAATGGTAAAACAAAAATACAACCATTCATTCCCATCATTAAATGGTCTCAAATTGAAGCACCCAATTTTCAAAAAAAAAGTTGAGCCGTATCAAGATATTTTGCCCAACGCGCTCTACGAAAAATATTCTCAATCATCACTTGAATCCGGATGTAAAAATACAACAAACCTTACCCGCTCCAACTAAGTTTAATTCTACAATTATCAATTCTAAAATTGCTGTAGTGATTGCAATTTGGATTGATAATCAAAGTTCAAATTATTATTGCGTTGAGAGACGAAATCCCTACAAATTCAAGCTTTTATTCCGTGCAAGCAAAGATGGATTTGTCAATGGTATATTTCATCAAAAAATGTGATAAAAAAGGAGCAACAGTTGTTTTTTCTAAGCTCAACTCTAAAGAAATGATATTCGGAGGTTATATTCCAAACAGCTGTACTAGTATTGGGATTTGGCACTATTGCGATGCAACTTTCTTATTCTCATTTCAAAATTCTGAGAATATTTCTTCAGCAAAAATTGGTCGTATTAACTATCCTAATCATGCAACCTATAATGGTACAAACTGTGGTCCAACTTTTGGAGGAGGGCATGATTTTTGCATCAAATGTAACAATTGGAGTAGCGACTCAAATGTGCATTACCCCGATTTCTTTTTAACGATATCCACAGTGGAGATTTACAAAAATATGAAGTTTTTCAGGTCTTAAGGAAACAATGCTTGAATCAATAATTCTATACAATAAAATGATTCAATTTAAAACTGGCATTTGGCGCGTGTTGATAATTTAATTAAATTTTCCATTAAGCTTTTAACTATTTTGCAATTATACATCAATTTCTTTGATTACCTATCAGTAGCGTATAATTTAAATTGACATATATCTTTTTAATTTATTAAAAAATATGAACAGGGTTGTTTTCACCTGGGCAAAATTCGATGGCAAAAATATGGGGTTAATTTTTTTGCTATTCCATACATATTTTTACCTGTAATTTAGACCAGATAATCAGATGTTATATTCAGGAATAAAATCGGGGTCAAAATTATGGTCAATTACGTAGTGATAAAACGAGTAATTACATTATTGTGATTACTATTTAGTTTATCGTTATGGCAGTCAGTGTTTTATTTAAATACGTAAACACATATCGATATAATTTACAGTCTGTCGATCCGAAAATGATATGCCTAAAGCACATTTTGTTCTCGTTGCCAGATCAATTTATCGTGAAGATTCGTCCCTCACATTCCTCAAAGACGCAGTGATAGTGACTATAATATCTACAATCATTTAAAGTACTAATGAAGGAAGAAGCAACTAGTTCAACTCAGCGTGAAACATCTTTTTTTGAGTATCTTAATGAAGCTAATAATACATGTCACATCATACAGTATTTATTAGCTGGTACATGTATAATTTTGCAAAAAGATTATTATTACATTATCTTCTTTAATACGTCCCTAAATATGGGTCTTTGAGAATTTTAGCACCTTAAAAGAATTCAAGCACTTTGTGTAGGATGGCAGGTTGTTCAAAATTGTCATCTTCTTTGAGATGTTAGAGATCATTTTGCATAACCTGTAAGATAATTTGTTTAATCCAAGCCTGATATTCTGTGTTATCTTCATCAATCTGTTTAGCAAATGACGTTAGAAAAGCATTTTTAATCAAGGTTATAAGCAAAGAATGAGCTTACTTTAATTGAGATGATTCCTGGAACTTGATTTTTTTAACATAGTTCATAAGTGCCTCAACAAGTTTTAATGACTAGCACTGCTCTAAGGACTCAACAATTTCAGTTTTTCCACCCTATAAAATAAAATTGATTATGCAAATTAAATTCGTGCCAATATTTAACAACTTACAATAAACGAGGTAATCCCACGGAATAATATTGATAGCAGTGGCATATTTCTTTTCAAATATTTCTCGTTTCAAAATAAATTAAGTATATCTTGTTACTGTTTAATACAAATAACTGGTAATTAACAACAAACTTTTAGATAACACTTTGCTTCAGTCTCCAAAACAGTAATTAGCACAGCACAAGCTGTTATCAAATTTTGTTGCGACATTACTGAATTAGTGTGTAAACTAAATAAACGAAATAAACGAAATATATGTGTTTCGAAATACTGTTGTTTGTTTTAAAAAGCTCAAATTGAATTGTCGTTTATATTTTATTGTTGAATTGTCAAATTGTCATTCAAATTTGAATGTCCTTTTTCTGATAACTTTGTTGATTTTTTCCAAATACAAAATTCGATTGATTACAAATAATTAAACTGATTTTATTTAATATATTTTGATCATATCATAACGTTTCAAGCTTTATTGTATTAAAAATTCTATCTTATCTTTGTATTATTTTATTTAATAATACTGGAAAACGTGGTCCCGCGAACAAAACAAACCTGGTGAAGCTTTTTTATCTTGGATTAACGTTAACACGTACTACGTATCAGTAGTATGTATTAATGTACAAACACCAATTTAAAAAAAAGTTAAGTTTGTAAATATCAATAAAGATAAAGATATTTGATTTTATTAATATACTAACGTTAATACGTACTCAAAAGTTATAAATAATAGTTAATAATTTACTGTTATCTAACTATTTCATGATGATGTATAAATGTACAATAATTCATAAGTAAATGCGTCATTTTAGGATACTACTACAATTTACCTATATGATGCAAAAAATCTAAAGTCATCAAACGTTTGTATTTTATAAAATGGATAAACTTCTTTACTAAGAAGTAAATACAAAATTTAA